CTAAATCAAATCATTTCAACAAAATAGTTGAATCACAGAATCTAAGAATTAGGATGGAACTTTAAAAATCATTTAGTACAAGCTTCTACCCAAAGTTTTTACTTATTATATCTACTTTCATATCTAGCTGACTGAAGATACATCATGGTAGAATGGCCACTTTAAAAAGCCATTCCATTGTTGTTGTCCTCCAATCACTGGAGATGCCTTTCTTCTGTAAACAAAAGTCTCCCCTACCTCCCCTTACCACCCCCATTGGTCCTAGTTCCAACGTGTGAGTTGATCCAGAAAGTCTACTCCCCCTGCCACTTAATAGGCCTTTCGCATTTCCAGGGGCTTCAAAGCCATCATGTCCTCCACCTCCTGGGCTTTTCTAGGCTGATATCTATGGGTCCTGCAACTGCTTGTCATAAGACAATAGCTACCCAATCTATTATCTCCCCTCAGTTAATTGGTGGCTCTCCTCCAGACATATGCAAGTTTAGGGACTCCAGATGATGATGATCTTGGGTGTGGAATGACCAGGCAAACTATGTTTAAATTAGATACCATGACTCCTCTAATAGAGTATAAATTTGAAAGTAGCTTTCTTTTTTTAGCAGATATTATGTACTATTGGCACAACTGAAATGTGGTCATCTACCACCTCCAGGCAATTCTTCTTTTCTACACATTGTTAAACCCAAATGTAAAATTTAACAATTATCACTATTAAGGTCCATCTATTTTTTGGCCTGTTTTTCCAGTATAAAGCCTTTTTAAAAATGTAATTCATTGTCTAACATATTATTAGTTCTCCTTCCTAATTGTGAATGAGCTTCTTTTAAACTTTTTTTATTGTGAAAAATATACACAACATAAAATTTACTCTTTACAACTTTTAAGTGTACAATTCAGTGGTATTAAGTACATTCCTACTGTTGCGCAAAAATTACCACCATCCACCTCCAGAACTTGTTCATCTTCCCAAACTGAAACTGTGTACCTGAGAAGCAATAACTCCTCACTGCCCTCTCTGCCCTGCCCCTGGCAACCACTATCCTATTTTCTGTCTCTATGAATTTGATTATTCTAAGTAATGCAAATAAGGAAAATCATATGATAAACTCTTTTTTTAAAAAATTGAATTAAGAACAAATTAGTGACTTAGGTGGACATGGCAATCTTCTTGGCTGACATCTATTTTACCAGCACATACCAAGTCCAATCTATCAAGTGTTTTCTTTCCTGATATTGAAAGGAAAATAGGATTCAAAAAGCAAACTTAGAGAAAGTAAGGGAAATAGTGCTGCTAAGGTAATTTCACTACGTAAACCTGTGCCCACAGAGGAACGTGAAACAGTAACCACAGGACAACGAAGGTACGTAGAGCTAGACTTGAACTCCTAAACCAACACTGAGGAATGCCTTACAGAAGGGTTTTTATTATTAACATGTTTGGAAATTATGGGAATGGTCACATCAGTTACTCTATATTAAAAAGTGTTTTAAAAATGTTAAAACAAATTCCAAAACAAAAATCACAGATATATTTGTGTATATGTATATATATAAACGTATAACACATATTTTTATATATGTAAATATATAATATACTTTGAAATTGACCACTTAACATTTTTGCCACACAAATCTCTCAATAAATAAGAGTTATATTATAAAGTAACTGTATATTTGTGTTTTTATAAAGATTTCTATAAGTGAGCTACAGAAATACTAATAAAACAATTAATTCTCAAGACTTCTGTCAGTCTATTGTTCATTACGATATAACAAAGTTGAAAATCTCTAATTTCAGTAGGAAAAATGATTTAGCATGTTATTTTTTAAAAATATTTTTCATTGATTAAATATTTAACATGTTTTACTAAATGTAAATTTAGTGGGAAATAGAAATCACATTTAATGATTTGCACATCACACATATTGCTTTAATAAGCTATATTAGGTGGCTATTTTTAACACCTACCTAATTAATTTTTAAAATTTTATCTTTTGAAATGTTGCAATAACAGTTACTATGGTTACCTAAAATTTTTCTTTAAGGCTATCCTAACGGAAGAAAAGGAGGAAATACAGTAGTTGTATGTAATAGAGAATAGGCAATACTATTAAAATCCTTTTAAAAACAAAAGTTCTTCTTTTTAACACTACTAGTGATAAAATGTTAGTGAGTCTTAGCATTGGTTTTATGGTATTGCTATGCAGATTTTTCTTCAGACAAACATAAAACCAATATTTTTCTAATTCTGGTCTCCTACTGCAAATTACAATTTTGCTGAATCTGACATAACAAATCTTTCATTTTCAATACCACTTTATACATATTTGTTTGCAAATGTTTTAAAAATATAAATACTGTGGTAAAGCATTAAATAAGAAACAGAGAGGCCAGGCGTGGTAGCTTATGCCTGTAATCTCAGCACTTTGGGAGACCAAGATGGGAGGATTTCCTGAGGCCAGGAGTTTGAGACCAGCCTGGGCAACATAGTGAGACATTGTCTCTACAAAAAACAGGAAAAAAAAATTAGCTGGCTATGGTGGCACATGCCTGTAGTCCCAGCTACTTGAGAGGCTGAGGAAGGCAGGAGAATTGCTTGAGCCCAGGAGTTCAAAGCTACAGTGAGCTATGATCACACCACTGCACTCCAGCCTGGGCAACAGTGAGAGACCCTGTCTCTAAAAAAAAAAAAAGAAAGAAAGAAAAAAGACAGAGAGAGAAGAAATAAAAAAGACAAAAAAGAAATAAATTCTCACACTTAAGGCATCACATGGTACCTAATACCCTGAAATAAATCAAGAGCCATAAGAGCCATTTGAAACCAAATTTTCTTCCTAGATTGCAGCAGAATGGTTTAATGATTAAATTCCAGGATAGTGTAAAAATGTGGAAGAGTTGGGAAATGATGCATATTCAGTGATTTTCTTTTCAAGTTTCAATGTTTTCCAAATGTATTATAACTCATTATCTAAAGGCACAGTTTGACTGGGGAGGGGTGATTCCCAAAGAACACAGAAAAAAACTACGGCTACAAAAGAAGTCAGAAAGGATAGTGGTTTATCCTTAAAAAATAAGACATTAAAGCATAAATGTGTTCATTTCCCTTCTGTAAGAGATCAGCCTCTCATGCTTTCCTGGATAATTAGTATCCTGCCCCAGGAGTGAAAGCTAAATATCAGGAGAAAAAACTGTATTAATACGATTTTTATATCTCTATATAGACAGAAGAGAATTCCTTAAGCCCTAAATTACTCTGCCAGAGAATTTTAAAACTTCAGTAAATATAACAGAGGTACAAAAATAGTGATCAAGATATTATATAACTTACAATCCCCTAAATTCAAAAGAATCTTACTTTTCAACTATTTCTTCATTAGGCCATACATTTAAAACCTATAGGGAGCTTGCTTCTATTGATCACTTTAAGTTTTATTTAGTTCCAGTAACAGAATCATTTAAGAAAAAAGCTTATTACAAATAGCTTAAACAGTTATGTAAGTATCAAGTCAAAGTGCTTTCCAAATACCAGTTCTCATAAGTGATAAGAATTTGATGACCATTTACACCAAAATTTGTAATTATTATTATTCTTTTATCCTTACTTAGAATAACAAAATGCACAAAGTGACCTGGGAATTCACTGCAAGGAAAAAACCTTATATTTAATGAGTAAATGTAAGATCTGTAAATAATATAGGATCTCTATCCATTCAACTATTATTTTTCTATTTTATTTCCCTATGAATAGATTCACTTTATTAGATAAATTTATTTCATACTAAAACAATAGAACATAGAAAGACATATCAAAAAAATCTTTAGGAAAAAAATGCAGTTGAATTCCTTTACTTATCAACTTACTAAATAAGACAGTTAATTTCTTTTTTTTTTTTTTAAAGGCATAAAAGTCCCAAGATGAAAACAGTATTCACCCCACATAATTAAACATTCAACTTGCCAGCGCATGCACAGCCAGCCACTTGCCATGTCTGTGATTTCAGTGGTCAACAGAGAACAGAATCATAGTTTTTAAACCATGTATATTAATTATTTAAATTTGTGACTTCAAATGGTTGATATGGAGACACATTTTGCTATATCTGATTCTTACAGAAACAATGTCAAATCAACATCTTATTCACTAGCTATCTTTGTGTTTTTTAAAAAAAGAAAAATTGAAGAATATCATTAATGTACATTTATATAAATGGTCACAAATATCCAGCAAGGATTTCAGTGATACCAAATAAGAAAAAAAATGTCAGAGGCTACATTAAAGTTTTAAAACAGAAAAAACATGGAATGGTATATCATATCTACTACATAAAATTCTAGTTTACTTACATCTATTATTTACAAATATCTATCTAGAGTTTGTTGGTATAGCTAAGTTGAAAAATAATTGGTTGTGGAGAAACCTAACAGACATACAAGGAATATAAAGTTGCTAGTTTACAAATGTGTATATGGAAAAATAATTTTAGACATAGAATTTAATATGCTTTGTTGCCTGAGATTTATTGCAAGAATCCTCTATTGACTTCAGTCTTGGAATTCTGATGAAGTCTCTGAGCAATATTTCCCCACTGCTCCAGCCTACTTATCTGTAATTATGCATGTGTATGGAATTAAACAAAAAGAAGTATTTTAGCTAGTTATACAGGAATATGTACATGCCCCGGGCTGTTAAATCATAAATGCATCTAGAAAGACAAATATCTATAGCTACACAATCCTAAAGATTTTAAGTGGAAATTCAAGGAATTAGGGTAATCTGCCTATCTCAAAGTTTATGAATATAGACACATTAATATAGACACACATGTAAAGTTATTATTTTAGTTAATAAACAAGATAACTTATCACAGGAACAATCCCTGAATGCATTTGGAGATGGTCTTTATAAATTAAGAACTGTATGTTTAAATTTATCTTCACCCTTAAGTCACTATTGCCAATCTTGTCTGCTTGTTAAACTACTGTAAATCCTGGAACTCACCAGTACAAAGTAGTATGCGTACAGCGCTGCACAATGGTGAATTATAAAAAATTTGTCACCAATCACTTTCCAATGCCAAATGAGAATCAACAAATCTGTAAGAAGGAAAAATGAGTTATTACATAAGAAGAAAGCTTCACTGTTTTTTAAGTGTATTTAACTCTTTCTCCTGACAACTCACCACTGTCTACTCTGAGGCCACAGCACTCTGTTCCTACCTCAGTGAGCCTGATGACCCACTTTGTCACAAAGCACCTGCTCCTTTTTCCTGTCTCACCCACTCTACTGTGGCTCCTCCAGGACACCCACCAAGTTGTGGGCATCTTTATACCCTCAGAATCCAGCACAGGGTCTGGCACACAGCATGTAACATAATGTCTGTTGAAAGCATAAATGAATAACTTGTTTTCATGATTAAATAAAAATAATTTTTAAATAAGTTTAAATTACTGATTTTTGTCACTATGATAATTTGAACAGAGACAAGATGTTGGTAGAAAAGGTACAAAATGACTAATTCATTTATAACACAAACTCAACAAAAAATATTAAAAGAATTAAGAATGCAAATTAGTCTGGCTATACCACCATGAACGCGCCTGATCTCATCTGATCTCAGAAGCTAAGTGTTGGGCCTGGTTAGTACTTGGTTAAAAAAAAAAAAAAATTAAAAAAAAAAAAAAGAGTGCAAATTAAATATTAATTCAAAATTAAAACTACCAAGACATACAAAGAAAGAGGTCAGAGCATCAATTTTCTTTAAAAGGTCCTGAATCTAAACATCATGAATCAGAAAATAATTAGTTTACTTTAGCAAAATAGAAATTGCTCAAAATTTTAACACAACTATTCTTTTTACCAAATAGTTAAACACGAAATGTAGACTAGCAAACAAATGGCTTCCATGGATACAGACCAGGGGAGGATTCAGATTTTGTGGGTTTGGAGCTTATACAATGTAATGGCCTCTTTTATAAAATAGAAATTACTAACACAAGACTAGATATGAGTATTTAGAAAAAGAAATCATCAAATCATAAATTTTAAAGAGAAAACAAATACTACAAATATGAAAATCAAGAAAAATAACATAACATTATTACTAACTGCCTAACCCACCTCTCTAACACATTTATTTCCCTATATTTTTAGGCTGTATACTTTTTGGCAACCGATTTATAAAATGATTTTGTTGTACGTTCTATAGAGAGAATAAAAAGAATTCACTTTTCATTCAGCCTGGTTTAGAAAAGTTTATTTCAGGCCAGGTGCAGTGGCTCAGGCCTGTAATCCTAGCACTCTGGGAGGCAGAGGTGGGAGGACTGCTTGAAGTCAGGAGTCTCAGACCAGCCTGACCAAGAGTGAGAACCCGTCTCTACTAAAAATATAAAAATTAGCCAGGCATGGTGGCGCATGCTTGTAGTTCCAGCTATTCGGGAGGCTGAGGCAGGAGGATCTCCTGAGTTTGAGGTTGTAGTGAGCTGTGATGACACCACTGCACTCTAGCCCAGGCGACAGAGTGAGACTGTGTCTCAAAAAAAAAAGTAAAGTTTGTTTCAGTTCTTAACTCTTGCAAGTTTTTCAGATTGTTATCTCATTTGGGAAAACCTTAATCAAGTTTCTTTCATACAAGATTTCCTGGGAAATGACTATTGTCTGAATTAACAACACTTATTAACCAGTGCATGTGGTGCGTTAGGGATTTTGTGTTATCCTTGCCAGTGACAGCTCTGTGTGTCAAATGAGCAAAATCTTTTTCCAATGTGTTCACATGATTCATTTTTTTTTAATTAGGCTATCAAATAATCCAACAGCCTATTCAATTATTTCTATTCAAAATTTTATCTCTTTCCCTTAATGAATTATTGTGTTTTGGAATAATCTAATTTTTTTATTACAACTCACTTCTTGATGACAGAAAATTTTCTATTAAGTTCACTACTTTATCACTTTTGTTTCCTATTGCATTATTTGTATTTGGATTTTCTTTCAGTTATTTAATAAATTCAAAAATTACAAAATAGAGTTCCCTATACAAATGTCCATATCAGGGATCTGTCATTTCTCTCATTTTATTAAGATGACCCAAAATGTCTTTTCAAATGCAGTTAAAATAGCATAATCTCAACTTTACTTCCCTCTGCCTCCCTGTAAAAAAGGCAACTCTAACCCCATCCAACATGAGGGACAATATGACAGAGGGGAATTTGGAATAACTGATTACGGCCGAAATGGCTTACTTTTGTAAGTTTTACCAAAGCCACACAAAACCATGACTGTTGGAACACATTTCAAGGGCCCTGGAAAGCGAGGCTTAAACTTCATTAGCTGCATAGTAATTACACCCGAGAGACTCTTTTGGACAAACAGAGACCACTGTTAATAAAAACTGTGCAGGCTTCGGGGGTGTGAGGCCCCACCTGGAGACTCTCATCTTCTGTGAGAACCAGGAAGCCATCAAGAAAAAACCTTGCACGTTCTGCCATCATCACAGGTATTTTTTCCTCTGTATGGGGAAAAGCTGCTTCTCAACTAAATAAACCAAAAGCATAGACTACATATACTTTGTATAATTCCAAGAGCAGTCTAAAAAGAAATAGAAAATGAACATATCACATACCAGAAATGAGGTAGCCTGAAGCAATAGCAATATTCACGTTCACAAGTGACGGATCACCCCTAAAAATATTTTTTTAAGAAAAGTTCTTTTTAAGCACAATGGTTATAGATGACAGTTATTTATTTTTTCTATTGAGATTTAAATATAATGAAAATGCTTTCTACAGATTCTCTAATGGTAAGCTGTAGTTTTCAAATAAAATCGTAAAACACACAGTAACAGTTTGGCCAACATTGACGAGTCCTGCAGTACTAGTACTAGCAGAGAGATGCTGTCCCCAGGAAAACCTGAACCCACACTCCCAAGGAAATTCAGTAGCCTTCCTGTCCAAGATGAATTGTTTTAATCAAGGGATCTTCTATAGCCTGTATCTTCCATCAAGTTTACTTTAGACCCAAGGCAGTTTCCAAAATTTCCTTGAGGATAAATCATCAACTCTAGGAATTCGAACTAGGCTGGAATCCTCTAAAGCAGCAGTCCCCAACCTTTTTGGAACCACGGACCAGTTTCATGGAAGACAGTTTTTCCACAGATAGTGGGAGTAGGGGGAATGTAACAGTCCATGGACCGGGGGTTGGGGACTGCAGTTCTAAAGCACCTAAAGTCAATCCATATTGAGGTTCCCAATAGTAGGAACAGATGTCCTGAGAGTGGCTAAGAATACTCAGTATATTTTCTGAACATAAGTTTTTAGAACTATTCCCAGAATCCCCAAATCCAAAAGCACAGCATAGGGTTTGTTTTGTTTTGAATTGGGAAGTCATCATCTATACCACCAGTGGCAGTTACAGTGGACTCAGTGGATACCTTAGGGCCCTCTATAGCTGACATTCCAATGTATTAAGTTACCTTAGGAGTGGCTCACTATCAATTCTGGATCCTATTCTAAACCTATCAATGCACAAAGTATTGTGTTAGTTACGGTAAGACTTCTAACTGCATGCATAATCATAATTCTTATACGTTTTAGCTAGAAGTTTTACCAGTTTTACCAAAAGATAACAAAATTTATAAATGTGTTCTCATAAGATTTGTTTGCAAAAGGACTCAACTGGAATTCCAGATGCTGATGTTTTTTGATTCCTTTTTCTGAATCAGGGACTCAAATTACCTCAAAAAATCACCTAGCCCATTACTGATTTTGAGGCAATATAGTATTATCATCATCATTCTACTGAGGCCTAGAGGGATTTGCCTATTATGACACAATTAGGAAATAATCAGAACAGTACAGTTTGACACTGCTGTTTTGATCCCTACACATATCAAGATCCTATACTTTTGCCCTACGATGCTCTTTGCTCCAAGAAACAAATACAAATTATCAGTCCTTTATCTGATTTATAATGTGAACCCCTAATGAAATTAACACAAAATAAAACCAACAGCTAAACTACAAATGGAAAGAGTTAGCAACAATCATGTCTTCTTTACAAATTTTTATTTGCAAATACGATCCAGGAAAATAGACCTAGAATAAATAATGGCACTAAAAATGCAAAAATATCAAAAATTATATTAGGTTGAAGTTTGATAAGGCAAAAATTGACCAATGAATCAAATCTGTTTTAAAATTTACTTCCCAAAAGAACTGGTTCTTCTGATAATCATGTTAGTAAAATAAAAACTAAAATTATAATAAAGCTAGAAATTGTGTAAGTAGACTATATAAAAATCTGGTCAAGGAATTAAGTTCATTAAATTGATTTTCTTTGAAAAATATCTTCCCAGTGAAAATTTATCAATATTGGTATAATACATATGGGAATAATTTCACATTTATGAATAAAAGCCTACACCCTGCAGTCAAATGGTGCTGGTCGAAAGACCTGGTTAAATTGCCCTCCATCCTCCGGAGCTCACAATGACCACAATTCAATGCAGTGCTTCCTGAAAATATAACTCCTCTCTCAAACTAAGCTGCACTAAGCCTTCTCATATAATGCCAGGAAATACAGTTTGCAAAATTTCTGCCACTGGAATGACATTCAAATTTTTCAAAAAGAACAATCTTACAAATTATACTATTATTGCTGAATATAATTATTATTAGTGCTTCAAATTTTCTCAGTACTGAATGTCTCACACATGGCCATCTATAATTCTCATTTTATCTCTTTGATATCAAACTATGGGTCAAACAGAAATTTGAAGACAAAGTCTTAAGTAGGTATTATCCAACTTGACCAACTTAATAATGACTTATTCTTGCTCAGAATAGTGGTTACAATAACTTGGTTTCACTCACTAACACAATACAAATGTTTACATCATCATAATCTTGTTTTGAATAACAACTGCAATACCAAGGCAAAATGACCCTCTTTTGCATTCAAATCTAAATAAATCATTTTAATGCACTTTGCTAAAATAAGTCTGAACACAAGCATTTTAATAAAGCATATACTATCAATATGGTTTCTGTTTTAAAGCAAAGTAAGTGATGTTCTTATTAATAATTAATATTAAAACAAAAATCAAATTGGCTATGTTGGAAAGAAATGGCTTACCAAAGTGGATCAGCTATAGTAGCCTCATCAAATAAGAAAATGTACAGGCCAAAAATCCCAACCAACAAAGAATGGCATGTAGATACTACCCTGAAATGAAACAAAACACACACAAAGATTTTAGATTCTTTGCAATAAACTTTAACTCATTCTGGTAAGACATTTCACATTCTGAACAAATTATTCCTTGAAGCATTTAAATACAGGAATGGAGTACATCTGAGAGTATAATACAAAATTGTCCTTTAGAAATCCAAGGGCTACAACTTTACTTTGAAATGAGTAACAATGAAGATGCCAAGGTCTACAATTTCCTGCTAGAAAATTGGTGAATCACTCCTTGGTTGAAAGTTCTAAGACAAGCTGGGTGCGGTAGCTCACACCTGTAATCCTAGCACTCTGGGAGGCCGAGGCAGGAGGACAGCTTGAGCTCAGGAGTTTGAGACCAGCCTGAGCAAGAGTGAGACCCCGTCACTACTAAAAATAGAAAAAATTAGCCGGGCATGGTGGTGCGCACCTGTAGTCTCAGCTACTCAGGAGGCTGAGACAGGAGGATCACTTGAGCCCAGGAGTCTGATGTTGCTGTGAGCTATGATGACACCACTGCACTCTAGCCCAGGCAACAGAGTGAGACTGTTTCCAAAAAAAAAAAGTTCTAAGACAGAAGCAAACATGATGACACAGTCAACAGAATGCTGTGCAGACCGATGGCAACTGTAAGACCACTACTTTGTACCCTGCTCCAAACTCCCTCCCCAACAGCATCATTACAGGATGACTTTCCTGCTTCAATCAGCTGGGAATGACTTCCAAATCTACTAGTCTTAACCAACTCTATATCCTTAAAACAATTCAAATGGATCATGATATGAAGATTTATTATCTTAGAGATTTTGATTTTAAATGTACATTCCCATGCATTATTGCACTTGACTCTTATAAAAAATCTGTGAGAAAGCAAGGGCAACCATTATTAATACCTCTATCATTATTATGACAGCACTTCTAAATAGAAAAATTGACGATCAGGAATATATATAGAAAATCCATTTTTAAAATAAACAACCAAGTGAGAACAAAATGTTCTCAAAATCCAGATCAACTTTTCTTTTGTTAAAGGAATAAGGTTTTGATGAAAAAACATCAGTTTCCACGAACATATCCTGCTAATAATTTAACAACTCAACCAATACTCGAGCTCTATGATATGCTACTTAAAGAGCTGTAAACAGCATACTTTGTATTTATCCACACAATGAAGTTTTTTTACCCAACAATTTCAGTTTTCTCACATCTTTATTGATAAGTTTACGAGTAATGAAGCTTCTTTTCTCTTCTTTAGAATAAAAGATGAAAAGAAAAGTTTTCTCTCTAGAAATTACTGGTATGCAATAAATTTCCCTCTACAATAAGACCCAAGATCTTTAAAAGTAAAATGTATCAACTAATATTAAGCTTGATATGAGAAAATTTCATTGTAATTTGAAAAATCAATATACTTGATCTAATAGATAGTGTTTCTAAATAGATATATCATGCTAAATCAGGTCATAATTTAAAAGCACAAAGATCCTCACTAAATTAAAGGCACTGACAAAGAATCCTTTGTATTAAATAACACCAAAGCATCATTTGAAGTGCAAATAATTAATCCAATTAACCTAGTTTACAAGTCTGGAATTTTTATACCAAGCACACCTGTATTCTATTTGAGCATAGCAGGACAAAAATATAAATTTCTTGATATCAAATAAAATACTCCATCTAGGCTGGGCGCGGTGGCTCACGCCTGTAATCCTAGCACTCTGGGAGGCCGAGGCAGGAGGACAGCTTGAGCTCAGGAGTTCGAAACCAGCCTGAGCAAGTACAAGACCCCATCTCTACTAAAAATAGAAAGAAATTAATTGGACAACTAAAAATATATAGAAAAAATTAGCCGGGCATGGTGGCGCATGCCTGTAGTCCCAGCTATCCGGGAGGCTGAGGCAGGAGGATCGCTTGAGCCCAGGAGTTCGAGGCTATGGTGAGCCACACTGATGCCACTGCACTCTACCCAGGGTGACAGAGCAAGACTCTGTCTCAAAAAAAAAAAAAAAGATACTCCATCTAAATAACCCTATAGCCCACTCTCTGTTGCTATTCAAAAATTCTAGAAAAGAAAAAAATATAACCTCTCTAACTTGTTAGTTAGAGTTAGTTAGTTAGCCTAACTACTAACTTATTTTACTGTTTAGTAACCATAAGTCAAGAAATTTCCTTTTAAAAAACAAAAACTTTTTATTCCTGACACTCAGGCCCCTCAAATTCTCTTCTCTGTTGAGATGTTATATGGTAAATGGAAAGCATCACAAGCCCTCAGCTGGTGAAAACAGCATATAATTCATTAGAGAAAAGTTAAATGTTATTTGGTCCAGTCAAATAGCTCCCACTATAATGAACAGGAAAAGTAAACACCTTATACTCACATACTATTCTGCATTAAAAGTGATACTGTCGGAAACTTGTTAGTAAAAATTTCATATTTTACTCTTTAAAATCAGATTCCTAGCAAAGCAAAATTTAGATTCTTTAGTAACTAAAAAGAAACACCACGATGCTACTCAAGATAAAACATTTCAATTTTTTTCAAAGAAGGTTAAAAAGAAATGTTGGTGCTTATAAAGCACCTGAAAAAAATAATTAATGACCATTTTAGAATAGTAATGTAAAGTTACTGATTTAATCAATCAGAAGCAGTGTGAGTGTTGTCAACAGAAATTACGTAGCTCAAGCAGGAGAGTTAAATTTGGGGGAAATAGAGTGAAAATTGGTAGTATTTAACACAATAGGATTTTCAATGCAATAGGTAAGCAACTGGATATAAGCAACTAAGAAAAATTTTTTAATTATAAGACATAAATAATATCTATAAGTATGTATGTTTTCAGAAAAAGTTATAATTAAGTACAACCCTTTCTCACTTATAATTAAACTGCTTTCCCTCAAGGGGGCATTTTCCAGTAATTTTTTTTCCTCCTGTCCTTTTTCTGCTAGATGGCTTAGACCACCCATTTTTTAAATACTCTTTCCTGATTTCTACAAAGAATTAAGTGTGTCGTATCAATCCATATGTTTTAAGACTGGAGGCTGAATTTTAAGACGTTCTTAAATGTCTTAAATACCTACTTTATTCAAAAAATATTCTACTTTTTCCTTCTTTGCACTCTCCGCCTCACAGCTTAAGTCCTATGTAAACCAAGTGGGAAGTAGGAACAAATTTGAGAGTAAGAGAAAATACCATTTGAATACCTAAATAAGTCTTATATATACTCCCAGACTCCTTTTTCAAATATGAACTCAGTTTCCCAAATGGTAATTTCCTGCATCACAGAATGGCAGCAATAAGACAGAATAATGCAAAATATTTTTCAATTTCATCATTTCATTTTCATCTTTGTTTCTAACTCTCTATACCCTCCCTATTTCTTTGGCTTGCAGCTACTCAAGATTCAAACGCCTTTACCTACCTTAACCATGGTGAAAAGAAAATGAAAATAGTTCAAATTTAATCAGAGAATATATGTCCTCTTTTCTTCTCTTTGCCACCATTCCATCTACCTTCATATGTTATGAAGGGTTTTTAAAAAAAATAATGGTATCTCTGGTACACCACATTTGAATAATATTTTTATGCTAGTCTTAAGATAAAAGAATCATACCTCTTATTTTTTATAAAAAATGTAAAACATAAAGAAATAATTCTTGCTTTTTGGGTGAAAAGAACTGTAGCATGTATGAACCAGTCATATCAGTGTAAAGCGCAAAAGAAAACAACTAACATCTTGGTAAATTCCGTCTAAGTTGTAAAAGTAGATGCCAGCAAAACAATTTGGCTCAGAGAAAGATAGGAGATTTCAGGTCAAATATGACCATTTTTAAATAAATACTTAGACACTGGCAGAAGTTCTTGGATTCTAAAAGGAAATTTCAATGAAAAATAATTACAGCAATTTTAGAGACTTGCTGAATGCATTTTATGGTTAGCGTTAACTTCAGCTAAACAGCAACAACAAAAAATATGCCTGTGACTACTTTGATTCACTGAGGTTTGCAAATGCACAGCAATATTTGGGCACATAAAATGCCTTAAAACAAGTGAAGCAGTCATCAGAGTTATTTTGTGTTTGAAATCTTGTGAGATTAACGAGTTGTACACAAAAAAATTTGCGACTAACTTTTTAAAACTCCAGATTTCCATATCCATAGATGTCTAATTCTTTTTTCATTTTTTTTGTTTAAAAAAAATCTAAGAAGCAATTTTTACTTTAGAATTATAGAACAAATGAATGAATGCTAGTAGGCTCTAAATTACAATGAAAAGTTTATTAAAAAGATACAGATGCACTGATTATACACTTTGTTCTCTGGTGTGTAACCTTTAACTCCCCTGGGTCTGGCTAAGCTGGCCAATACCACAGAGTATATAAGCTATCCAAAATTCCAACAAGTATTTTCTTCCGTTAACATTTCCGAAGAATTATGTGTTTGTTATAATCATTTCAGAGAAAAACACAGAACAGTATTCTTCCACAGTCAGCTGGATTCTACTTAATCTTCACACTCTTCCCCAGAAAGTTAAAATAAATTTTTCCTAACATCTTTCTACATAATTCTTAAAATTTTCTTGTGTGAGATCTATCCACTTGTATTTCCTCTTATTCCTAAAGTCAAATAAAAATTTGGCCTTAGATTTTGTTAGATCCTAAATGAAAGACTTTTTTGAAATGTTTTAAACAATTTTATTTCATAAAACTAGTTTTTAGTCAATTACATTTTCATATGCTTTACCTTGAGTTCCATTCAATCTTCTTTTCGAAGCTGAGACTGTTAAACCCTGGAGATACTTTTGCTGAAAACCAGTAACTTACATAGTGGAAAAGAAGCTGAAAGGTGACAAAGCTGGCGCACACAGTGCTGACCACCAGCTTCCTGTTGGCGTCCATGTTTCTCCAGCCTGTTGGGAGAAACGACAGCTGTAAATTGTTATCTCATGATAAGCCTAGATTAAAATCTTTTCAATTTTAAAAAGCATGCAATTGTGTTTTTAGTGATTTTAAAAATTTAACACAAATGTAAGAATACAAAGAAACTAAGAATGTTTGGTCTTTTGTGTTTCTTTACTTATTCATTGTATATCTCATGTCTGTATTTAAAGTAAAAAGAAAGAAAAACCTATTACCTTAAAAGTCAATATTATAAATTTCAGAAGACACTTTAACATGATATTCAAATTTATCTAAGTCTTGGAGTTTAACATTAAGAGGGAATTTCAAATTCTATAACTGAAAAGTATTCTCTTAATATTCTATTAAATTTAGAACAAATCACCTTATTTCTTTATGCCTCAATTTCCTCATCTATAAAATGAATTCTTTGGATAATTTCTAAAAAACAATCAAGGCAAAGATCACAGCAGAACATTACCTGTGATAACAAAACAAAATTATATAATAAAATCTAATTGTACAGCAGGACAAACATTTACAACAAAATCTAAATCTTAAGAAGAATAATACAATCTTAGAAAAGAACCATACCACTGTCATTGCTTAAATTAGTATTTAACTTAAAAAAAAAATTTCTGCAATCACACATATCGTTGGACCAAAGGCCTCCATGGCTTTTTATCTATTTAAACAAAAAAAAGATTATTATAAAAAAGCTTCAAATCTTAAGGATAGAGTTAGCAGAAAGAATAGTAATATACACATGTACACACTCAAAGTATGTTTTCTATCTCATTGAGTGGAACTTTTTTTGGCTCCTAAAAATCTTCGGAACATTTAGACCAAAAAAGGACACTAAAGCATTTGCTCGTATCTAGCAAATACAGCATTCCTACGGCTCCATCTCTGATAGAACTGATCCTCAAATGAAAAGGAAATGAATCAATACACATTTCCAGCTGCCTAATATGAAGAAATAAAGTCACCTACTGAAGCCAATTCACTAGAGAAAACCCAAGTCATTGACTGCACTAGCAATAACCCCACTTCATTCCCTTCCAACCAGGATATCATAATAAGAATCAGTCTCCCACAGGGCACCTTCCCACAGAATCCATATGTCTGTAATGAATTCTTTCCACATTTTTTTTTGGTATGTACGCTTGGTAAAAATATTGATATTACAATTCTTCTCTGTGGGACTCCATTACCTTTATTGCTCATTTACTTTTTTAAATTCAACATGTGTTTATCGGGTATTAAAAATTTACTCTGTGTCCTTTTAGCCTAGGTTTAATATTAAGCAAATAATATATAAAAGTTTTATACATAAATTAAGCATCATAATTATTAGAGTGAGATAGAAAGAGGAAAATACTTTTCTAAGATTAAAGCAAATAGAGATCTGGAGGGCAGGTGGACAGATAATTGAAGAAAATGGAACCACTAATTAGAAGAGAGTGGAAAGTCTAACCTTAAAGGTGATGATGGTCAGCCCTGAAGGCTTTTGTATGCTCCCTGCTGGCCCTGGAGCAGCAGAAGAGCATGAGCTGCTCAGTTACTTTTGTTAAAATTCATTGCATACGATGAGCATTTATTTTATGAATGTTCGTTAAAAGTTATCATAAAGCATACTTACATCATGCAAGTATGGATAATATCCATTTTATGACTGTTAATTTAACCAATATATTTGAAGCACTTAAACAATTCACCATTAAGAAATTTATCATTCCCCCCAAAGCAAGTTTTTATTATGTCTTTTCATACTGGCTGAATATTTCATATTTTCAACAGAATTATTTTCAGTTAAGTCTTTGGGGTAAATGTTGAGAGTCTCCTTTGCAAAAATGTTTCATTTAAAACTAAATAAAGAGCTCCACATATTCAAGCTGTGGCTTCTATGAAAGGCTCAACAGACAGAACCTAATTAAATTGTTCTACTCAGCTTTGCTTCTTAATAAGCAGCTGCTTGCTTAATCAGTCATGCCAAATCAAGGACTAATCTAGATTTTTAAAAATTTCCCCAGAAAAATCAAGGCTTCTGGTAGCAAGCAATTGCCCCTGTTCATTAGGCAAGAAAACGGTAACAATGGATAAAACTAAATGATGCTTATTACTAACATATATTAAGGGCCTGAGAGAGCTTATTTAGGAATACACAGTGAAAGCAGAAGAGCATTAGACCTAGATCATACACCTCTACATGTGGCTACTAGCTGGCAGGAGGCTGGGACACTAGCTGTCTTTGCAAAGAGCAGCTGAAACAGGGGAAATATTTCATGGCAATTCCCAGGAGTGTCTAGATATGAACTCTACAATATAATTACCCCATCTTGATCCACAGGAATTGTGGACACCAAAGTAACTCTTCCAGAGATCTGCTGAATACTTTTCTCCCAAGACGGTTTACATAAACTTTAATGGAAGCTGGTTTCTCAGTAAGGAAGAACATGAAAAGGTTTGAAGTACAGTCACGGACCACATATTGATGTTTAGGTCAATGACAGACCATATATATGACAGTGGTCCCGTAAGATTATAATGGAGCTGAAAAATTCCTATCACCTAATGACATGGTAGCCATGTGACACTGCACTACAACACATTACTCACATGTTTGTGGTGATGCCAGTGTAAACAATCCTACTGCGCTGCCGCTAGTATAAAAGTCTAGCACATGTAATTATGTACAGTACATAATATTTGATGATGATAATAAATGACCACGTTACTGATTTATATATTTATTACACTACACTTTATCATTAGTTTAGAGTGTACTCCTTCTACTTATTAAAAAAAAAAAACTGTAAAACAGCCTCAGGCAAGTCCCTCAGGGGGTATTCAGAAGAAGGTGTTACCATAGGACATGACAGCTCCCTGCAAGTTACCGAACCTGCAGACCCTCCAAGAAGGACAAGATGTGGAAGACAGTGATACTGATGACCCTGACTCTGCATAGGCCTAGGCTATTATGTGTGTTTGTGTCTTAGTTTTCAACAAAAATGTTTAAAAAGTTAAAAAAAATTAAGAGAAAAAAGCTTATAGAGTAAGGATATAAAGAAAGAAAATATTTTTGTACAGCTATATAATGTATTTGTGTTTTAAGATGTGTTATTACAAAAGAATCAAAAAGCTTGAATTAAAAAGTTTGCCAAGTAAAAAGAAAGCTAAGGTTAATTATTGAAGAAAAATTTGTAAATTTAGTGTATCCTAAGTGTGTAGTGTTTATAAAGTCTAAAGTGATGTACAGTAACTTCCTAGGCCTTCACACTAACTCACCACTCACTCGCTGACTCACCCGGAGCTACTTCTAGTCCTGTAAGCTCCACTGATGGTAAGTGCCCTATAGAGGTGTGTCATCTTTTATCTTTCATACCACATTCTTACTGTACCTTTTCTCTGTTTAGATAACACAAATACTTGACACTGTGTTGCAACTGCCTTAAGTATTCAGCACAGTAACATGCTGTACGGTTTGTAGCCTAGGAGCAATAGGCTTTAGCACATAGCCTAGGTGTGTAGTAGGCTGTACCATCCAGGTTTGTGTAGGTGCACTCTGTGACGTTCACACAATGATGAAATCACATAAGCACGCATTTCCTAGAAGGTATCCCTGTCACTGACACAACTGTACACGTCTCAACCACGAGAGCCCTTCTCTTCCAACAGGAAGAGGCAGGGCCCCCAGAAACAGCACAGCCAGGGCTGATTCAGCCTTCAGCAAACTGTTCATCCAGCACCTATCACTGGTCCACCATGTGCCAGGCACTGTGCTGGTGCTTGGAATACAAAATGGGAGGCACGCTGACAGCCAGTAAGGAAGTAAAGAAATCGATCCTCGGCCGGACGCGGTGGCTCACGCCTGTAATCCTAGCTCTCTGGGAGGCCGAGGCAGGCGGATTGTTTGAGCTCAGGAGTTCAAAACCACCCTGAGCAAGAGTGAGACCCCCGTCTCTACTAAAATTAGAAAGAAATTAATTGGACAACTAAAAATATATAGAAAAAAATTAGCCGGGCATGGTGGCGCATGCCTGTGGTGCCAGCTACTGGGGAGGCTGAGGCAGGAGGATCGCTTGAGCCCAGGACTTTGAGGTTGCTGTGAGCTAAGCTGATGCCACGGCACTCTAGCCTGGGCAATAGAGTGAGACTGTCTCAAAAAAAAAAAAAAAAAAAGAAATCGATCCTCACCACATAAAGTAGTAAGTTCAGGGTGCTAAGGGGACACTCCCTGCTTTCCAGGAGATAAATATCCAGCAGATATGACACATAAACAGTGAGAAAATACCCAAAATTACTGAAGTGAACCAAGTCGCTATCTTCTGTTCTATTAGAATCCCAACAAGATGCTGAGGCTGAAGCCCAAAAGACTCAGTTCCACCAGGTGAACTGAGAACTTCCAACTCCTCCCCTCCAAAACACAACCATTACTCGCATTTCCCTGTTCGTAATTCCCTTGTAAGCACAGGGGTTCCTCAGGGAATAAGTCACAATCGCCACTGCCACTTCCACACACGCACACAACCCCACCTCTTCACGTTCTGATATGACTCTCAGTCAGAACCACTGCTGAAGTGCTTTGCAGTAAAAACCCTTAAAAAGAGGGGGCAGAGGTTTGTGTGTTTGCCTTAAGGGCATCAAGGAAGGGGGAATCTGGAAAGAATGCCCTCCTTATGCTTAGCATTCCTTTTCGCATCCCCAGAAAGCTCCTTTTTATTTCCCGCACTGATTTCGAATGTTCGCTGTTCGCAAGTCTCCAGTTCTCCATCTCTTACAACAGATGAGGTTTCTTCCCATTTCACCAAGAACATGAAGGCTATCAGGCATGGCTTCCCTCACTTTGGCAATGTTTGCAACCTCCCCCAGCCCCCTCCCCCGAACCCCTTCTCTGCAGGCAATAGGCTCTGCCTGGCCCTGGGCCCCACACCTCCAGCACTGCTCATACTGTGCGCAACTAGACTCCACCCCTCCCAGCACACCAGGCCTGGATGCTCAGCTACCCGCG